AGAGTCAAAGTATATAACTAAGTAGGCAGGAAGATGCAAAAGGACCTAGTTAAACATTTCAGGACAAACATGCTGATGTTACTTGTGTTCCTAGCATAGTGATTACAGAGAGCGCCCTGTTTTGCTTCCTTCCTTGTATCTTTCCAGTTGGAGGTTGCAGAGAAGTTCCATTGAGTGCCATTTGAGTTTTAATTCTTTTTTTTTCTTTCTTTTTTTTTTTGTGTGTGTGGGTGGTGGGGCTTGAACACTAGGCCTGGGCACTATCCCTCAGCTCTTCAGTTCAAGGCTAGCACTCTGCCATTTGAGCCACAGCACCACTTCCAGTTTTCTGGTGGTTTATTGGAGATAAGAGTCTCATGGATTTTGCTGCCCGGGCTGGCTTTGAACCGCAATCCTCAGATCTCAGCCTCCTGAGTAGTTAGGATTACAGGCGTGAGCCAATGGAGCCCGGCTGAGTTTTGTTTGATTCTTTATGGACAATTGGAAAATAATCCCAGAATCAGGAAGCAGATTAAGTTTTGGGGCCTTTGTTCAACAGCGCACTCACTTTCATACTTGAAGGGAAGTAGCTGTTTTATCACCTGTTCTACCCGGGCCCCAAGTGCTAAGATGACAATAGTTTGGGCAATGGGTAGGAACATATGGTGATGGCTTGTGCTGATGTGGGAGGGTACATCTTTCCTGGTGTGTAGTAAAATGAAAGCCTCAGCAGGAAAACTTGAGGCGTTGGGAAATTGAGATTCCTGGGAAATTCCAAAGAGATGGTCCTAGAGTGTAGCCTTGCAGATTGCTGCAGTCTGATACTTATCCATCCAGTGGGCTTGCCTTAGAAGTGTGTTTTCATGGCTGATAAGAGGTAACTGATTTGATCTGAAGGAAGTAAGTAATGAAAAGAGGAGGGCATTGGAAATGGAAATGTTTTCTTATTTTTGACTCTTGGAAAAGGTACTGTGGCTCTTCCAGGGATTTCACTTGTATCAAAATCTTAGTCTTGTATAGACAGTTTATATCTTTACTTATCTACCTAGTCTAATTCCAGGGACTGAGAAAGGAGATCGTAAGTCAGTTGTCCTTGGGGTTTCCCATGCTATTATAATTGGGACTTGGTGATTTAGCTTGTCTTTCATTCTCCCGTAGGACACACCAGGGCTAGTTCCTAGATTATCAAAGTATAGAACCATCCACTTTTTGTCTGTTCCAACCAGACAGAAGTCTAGAAGCACAGACAGCAAGATTTTTGTAAAATAAGGTCAAGAAGCTATTTCTTAAGTCCCTTTAAACTCTCGTTCTTATTCTATGTCAACCATAGGTTATGTCTTTCAACAGTTATTGTTTTAATTGTGTTTGTTTATTGTTGTCTCTGCAGCATTTGTTGCCTATCCTGACTGATGGAGATATATACTCCGTGTCTGATACTTTCTAGAGCTTTATGCTCATGAACCCATTGCCATAGAAGTGATTTAGCTTCACTAAGTTTGGTTGTCCTGGTAGTATGAGTTATTACTCTACCCCTCTTAAAAACAAGGGAGGGGGTAACCATGTTCAACAAGAATTGTATTCATTTCCTTATGTAACTGTAACCCCTTTGTCTATCACCTTTATAATAAAAATTTAAAAACAATGTTTACATAGAAGATAGTAGCTAAAGCATACTCCCAAGAAGCCTGCTACCTTCCATATCACTGTGCCATTTCTGTGGACTTGTTTTGATTGGCTTAGAGCTGAGGCATATGTGGAAAAAGATCCTATTCTGTGATTTCACCTGATTTTTTTTAGTTTAATTTTATTGTCAAGGTGATATACAGAGGGGCTACAATTACATAAGTAAGGTAGCAAATACATTTCTTTTCAAGCTTGTTACCCCTCCCCCATTTCTCTCCCATGTTCCCTCCCTCTGTCCCCCTCCCCAAGTTGTACAGTTCATTTCCAACATAGTATTGCTGTTGATTGGCTCCCCTCTTGTCCTTTCTCTCACCATTTTGTTGTTCCTCTTCCCTTCCCTAATTCAGATAAACATATATATAGATATAATACCCAGGGTACCAAAATCAAATACAGTGGATAACAGGTGATAAACCATAGAAAAAAAACACAAAAGAAAAAAAATTGTATATTAAAAACAACAATAACAGAGCAAAAAAAAATAACAGAGCAAAACCTCTTGTGTTCATGCCTTGGAGTTCATTTTGCTTAGCATTATCTGATGTGGTCATATGTATATAGCTATTGAGCTTTTCTGCTCATCTGCTAGTACTATCCTAGACATATACTAATTAGTATTGAGGGAAATCATAGGATCATTATTTACCATAACTAAGATATAGAACCAACCCAGATGCCCCTCAGTAGATGAATGGATCAAGAAATTGTGGTATATATACACAATAGAATTCTGTGCTTCCGTTAGAAAGAATGATATCACCCCATTTATAAGAAAATGGAAAGACTTGGAAAAAAATCATATTAAGTGAAGTAAGCCAGACTCACATCAGGATTTTTTGTTTCTTGTTTTTTTCAAAATTTGATGTATGTGTATGGAGCAGCTTTATTTACCATGAAATTCACAATACAATGTGTAGAATTAATAAATTTTAGTATTTTCACCAAGTTGTGCAAATAATACCTGTATTTCATTAGAAAACATTTCATCATCCTCAAAAGAATCTTCTACCAATTCCTCCTCCCAATTTCTGGCAAATAATTCTTGTCTATGGATATACTTAATCTGGACATTCCATGGATAGAATCATAATGGTTGACTTCCTTTACATTGGCATAATGTTTTCATGCTTCATTCTTTTAATTTATCAGTACTTCATTCCTCTAATGGCTGATGGCACTCCATTGAATGCATATACCACATTTTATTTACCAACTCTTTAGTTGTTTGATCTATGAATTATTTCCATTTTTGGCTAATTTGAATAATGCTGCTATGGATATTTGTGCATTAATCAACATAAATAACATGTGGCATATCCCTAAAATAGAATTTTATTATTCAATTACAAAAAAATACTAATACTTGTTATAGCACAGATAAACTTGAGCACATGATAATTGAAAGAAACCACTTATTTTGTGCACCCATTGATAATAAAATGCCCAGAAGAGGCAAACGTGTAGATATAGAAAGCATATTAGTGGTTTCCAGGGTCTGGGGCTATCAGAGGAATGCAGAATGTCTGCTAAAGAGGAGAGGGGTGGTTTCTTTCTAAGTGATAGGAATGTTCAAAAATGTATTTTGTTGATGTTGTATAAATTTATGGATTTAGTAACAGCCACCGAATTTTATACTTTACAAAGTTGTGTTGTATTACAAAAACAATTTGTGTCATCAAATACTAATTGTTTCCTTTAATCAGTGCTCTGTGATACACACAAGGATCAGAATGAGAGCTCTATTTTCTATGTTTTAGGAATTTCTTAATGAATATTCCTAAAGAGGATAGTGGAATGTATGCTCATACAAAATGTAATCCAAGGGGGTGTTACACAGTTCTTGTTTTTGTGTGTATGCCATACTCAGAAATACCTCAAAACCTTTTAAGTATCCACTATAAAATTTCAGAAAGATTTCAAAATGTTGATTTCTCTAATGCTTGTATAACTTAAACATAGCAATATCCATGCCTTTAATAATACTGTGAGCTTCAGCTGTGTTGTATATCTGTCTTGATTGCTTAGTGTTATGTCTAGTCCACAGACAGGATAAGTGTGTGAGTGAATGAATGACTGCTATTTATGAAGTCCCCTAGTTTGTCCCTGGACTACATCTTTGAGATGTAGCAACCTCTTCTGGCCAGCCTGGAGGTTGCTCTGAGGGGAATGTGTTGCTGAATTCACCAGCAGCCTAGGGTCCTTTTCTCCCCTCATTGTTAACTCTTTAATTCTCTGATGCTCTCACTTACTTTGGTTGCAGTAGTGACTTGAAACAACATATAGATGATTCTGTAGTTTGGTGATTTCTTCTCTGGTAAGACATCCAAACTTTGGGTTTTTGGGTTAGTGAGATTTAGCAAAACAAAAGGTGCAATAAATAAATAAAGTGTAAAAATATATGAGTTTTCATATTTTCACAGAGTTGAGCAAAATTGTACAAAGTTGTACTTTCAAGAAATTTTTTCATGCTTACCAAACATCAATGCTGTAGACTCTGTGTAGCTTTGGGTCTTTGGTCTAATAAGAAATGGATTTTTTTCTTATTTTTTTTATTTTCTGTGAAAGTATTTTATGTGGATTAATTTCTTTTTCTGTTAAATATCCTTTGCTTGCCCTGGACTTTTCTTTGTGTTGATTTTTTGCTTCATTTTTTTCATTTCCCATGCTGTTCAGTTACTGGATGCCAGAAGAACCAAGGTTTGTCCACTCTTTGCAGCCTGTTTGTTTTGCTCTGTGTAGCCTCACCTCTGTGTGTTTGGTGTGTTTTGTCTGTGTCTGCATTTGTTCCCTTCTGCTTGCAGAGGCAGTAATCCTGTTTACTAAACCTGCTCACAGCTTTACTTGTAAAAAAAAAAGTCCTTGTTTGTGTCTACTGTAGTGGATACTATTATTTTCATTTTTAGATGGCTGTGTATTTATTATGCAAAACAATGAATAGTAGAATAAAGAACATCTTAGGAAACAAGGAATACTGAGTCTGGAGCATTGTGGGCATAATGAAGATGTGTTTTGTGAAAGTTTCCCTTAACCCTTTCCCTTCCTAATTTAAAACTCAGTAGACATATATTTTCCCTTGTGATTGACACTAATAAACTGTATATGTGTATGTGTACATTTCTCTTCTCCTAAGACATTCAGATAACATCACTGAATTAATTTCCCCCTTTTCATGTGCTGTCCCATGCTTCTGAAATCACCCTGGAAGACTTCATGGCTGGCCCCCTGGACCTCATGATTAACATTCCATCTTCATGATGTGGTAACAGCAGACAGCGCTTGGCACTTACATTGACAATCTCCCTTTTTTCCCCTTTCCCGCTCCCTCTTTCTCATTGTAGCACCTGCAACTGACAATCCAGGCCCTTCAAGATGAGCTGCGAACACAGAGAGATCTCAACCACCTCCTGCAGCAAGAGAGCGGTAACCGTGGGGCGGAGCACTTTACCATTGAGCTGACTGAGGAGAACTTCCGGAGGCTCCAAGCTGAGCATGACAGGCAGGCCAAGGAGTTGTTCCTTCTGCGGAAGACACTGGAGGAAATGGAGCTGAGGATTGAAACGCAGAAACAGACCCTCAATGCCCGAGATGAGTCCATTAAAAAGCTCCTTGAAATGTTACAGAGTAAAGGTTTGCCATCCAAAAGCCTTGAGGATGACAACGAACGCACCCGCCGCATGGCAGAGGCGGAGTCTCAAGTCAGCCACTTGGAAGTGATCTTAGACCAGAAAGAGAAGGAAAACATCCATCTCAGAGAGGTAAGAGCATTCAGTGAATTGCCCATAAACCTTATTCTAGGAAGTGTGTTATCGAGCTATTTTCACAGGTTGGAAGATCTCATACATCTGCTTGAGAGTACAGGTATGTTCCATTGTTACTCAACACATATTGAGGATTCCAAGCCTGTATAGTATATGGCAACTCCAAGGTGGTTTACAGTTGCTTTCCACATGTGACTATGGTTGGGGGAATTTAATTACAGCTCTGCTTAAGTTTAGTTCTTTATCAAGCATTGTCTAAAGAGGAAAACAAATAGGTGCTTAGCAATGCAATGAACTGAAGTAGTTTTACATTAATCTACCTGAATTTATAGAGTAAAACATATGACTGGTGGCTCTGGGAAGAAGGGTAAAATGTCCAGACCAAATTTGAACATTTAGGCTTAAGATAATCTTTGTCTGCACTTACATTTGTCTAGAACAGACTGTTGCAGGTTTTCTGAGTTTGTGTTTTGCCTGTAGTGAATTATATCATTTGGAGTCCCCCAAAGGCTAACTCTCTGGCCTGCCACCACCACTGAATGTTGGAATGCTCAGATATCTGAGAATATGTGGCTTATTAAAGCTTAGGAAAAATGTGAGTTACATCCAGGGTTTGAACTGGTTATAGCAATTATTTGCCATTGTGGTAGGTATGGATCTTAAAGGTGTCATAGTTAAGCGTGGTGGAGCATACCTGGAATCCCAGACTTAGAAGGCTGAGGGCAGGGGGGGATAACAGGTTTGAGGTCGGCCTGGATTACACAGTGGGTCCTAGGCAAGTCTTAGCTACATAATGAGGCCCAGCTTTAGAAAAATGAAATCAGATAGGAAAACTTTCAGGGGTGACATATATCACCCAGAAAGTCACAAGCTATAAAATGGTATTGAATGTATTGTACTCAAAGTATTTACAGCACTAAATAAGAATTATAGAGTAGACTACATTTCTTAGCATTGAATACCTATTCAGATAGGCAGCCCTTCTTGCAAGTCACTTGTTTGATGGTTCAAAAAGCCTGGCTTTCATGATGAGATTGTAAAATGCAGATGCTCCCAGGAAATGTTTATTTTATTTGCTTAGGACATTTGCTTAAACTTTTGGATCTTCACACCTAATGCTCTCTATTCTTTTTAATTTTTTGAATTTAAATTTTATTGTAAAGGTAATGTACAGAGGGGTTATAGCTATGTAAGTAAGATAATAAGTACATTTCTTTTTGACTTGTGTTACCCACTCTCTCATATTCTCCCACTTTCCCCCACTCCTCTCCTCCCTCCCAAGTTGTAAAGTTCATTTCCATCATAGTGTCTTGTGAGTATCATTGTAGAATTGGTTCATCCTTTATCCCACCCATCCTGTGATTCCCCTTCACTTTCCCAAACCAATTCAATTTATTTTTTATTATTAGTAAGTTTTTTATTGTGAAAATATGGTACAGAGGGGTTACAATTGCACAAGCAAGGTAATGAGAGTACATTTTTTATCAAGCAGCATTGTTGCCTCCTTTGTTTTTCCCTTACCATCCCTGCCCTTACATATCCACGACCACACTCCCCTCCCAAGTTGTAAAGTTCAGTTTTCGACATAGCATCTTGTATATTTCATTGTTGCAATGGGTCCACCTGTATCCCTATTTAAACCATTTGTTTTTTCCCTTCCACTCCCAAAATTATACCACCATCAAATACAGTAAAAACAGGGGTTATACTATGGGGGAGGGACATACAGAGTAACAAAAAAATCACCTTATAAATATGTTAGAAACAATAGCAGCAAGAAAGAAAAACCACTTGAGTCCTTATCTTGGGGTTCATTTCACCTAACATCAACTTATCTGACCTTTTCAATTAAATTTAAATACAGTACAGAGTATACAGAAAAACAACAACAACAGTAACACCAGGGAATAAACTGAAGGAGAAAAAAGAAAGAAAAAAGAAATAACTGCAAACAGTAAAATAAAAAACCTCTTGTTTCCATTTCTTGGAGTTCATTTTGATAAACTCATTTCATATGGTCATATCCATATGGCTAGATATGCCACAGTACTGCCCACACCCTAATGTTCTCTATTCTTATTCTCCCTTGCTTGGTTTTAATGTGACCTTAGCCACATGCTAGGGAAAGCCATACGGCTTAGTTTCATATTGAGATGCTTAAAGAGGTGTTGGGTTGGGTCTTCCCATCTGTATTCTAGCATGTGGTGGGCAGACTTCTTCTAAGATGGTCTCCAAAGATTCCTACCACAGAATCCATACCCTTGGCTGATTTCCATTCCTTGACTGCAGGCTAATCTTAGAGACTTGTATTTAAATGGTAGAACATGGCAAAGATAGTGAGATGTCAAAGTTATTGATACTATGCCTTTTTCCCCCCTCTGCTGTATTTGTGGTAAGCAGAGTCTATTCATTTTCTAGCTCTTCGGGCTCCATAACAGGCAATGACAGCTAGTATTGCAGCCCTGCATCAGGCAACACTTGCTGGTGTGGCAGCTGGGTAGCAGGCAATGCGAGTGTTACAGTTGTGTAGCAGATAACACCTACTAGTGTTGCAGCTTCACTGTTGGCTGCTGCCACAGTCACCTTCTCAGGTTCTTGTCTCTCATGCTGGAAGAATGGAATCCACGGACAAAGAAAGGTGAGTGTGAAGAACTTTATTCAGGCAAGAAGGGTCCTTGTCAAAGGCTATTGCTCCTCAGCCTGCAAGTGGCCGAGTTCAAAGATTTCTATACCTTAAGTTGTCCTCTGATTGGTCATACCCCATGTAAATGAGGCATAGGACAACCAACCAATCAGAAAAGACTTGCTGAGTCACTATGGACCTGCAACTGTCCTTTTCAGTTAGGTCTGTCTTGAGCTTTCCTACCTCTAAGGTTTTTGGGAACTAGAAGGGCCAGAAATACTACATTCTATTTTCTGTGGCTGGGATTTTGTGACAATTTTGCATTTTTGCTGTCAGGTCTGTCCTTACCAGGTTAGTGTATTCCATTTTCCAGGGGCCCTAACTAATCTATTGAACTAAATAACAACTAATTTTACCTTTTTGTTACTTCCATGATTATGTTTCATGAGACTTTGCTTTCATCTTACTAGCAGATTGATGCCTTCTTAGTTTGCATGTTTTAATGAAGCAAGCTGCTATGTGGAGAAGCCCATGTAGTAAGGAGATGAGGGTAGCCACCAGCCAATATCCAATGAAGAATGGAGATATTCAGGCTAACAGCCACAAAACACTGAAAACTTCAATCAGCCACCTAGTGTACTTGGAGGTGAATCCTTCCCTACACAAGTCTTCAGATGCAATGACAGGCTCTGGGCTGACGTACCTTGATTGCAGCCTTATGAAAGACCATGAAGCAGAGGACCCTGCTAAGCTGTGTCTGGATTTCTGACCTACAGAAACTGTGAGATAATTGGTGTGTGTTGTTTTAAGGGGCTTAATTTCTGAGGAACTTGTTATAGAGCAATATAATAGAGCAGAAACTCCCCTGCCTCACTGTAAAGACCTCCCATCTGATTTATAGAAGAGGAACAATAATTACTGGAAATTATTATTCTATGTAGATTGTGAATTTTGAAATTCACATGTGTTATCTTAAAACTGTGGTCTTAAAACTATAGTTGGAAAAAGTAGCTACTTTAGTTTTGATACTCAGCAAGGGTGCTGAATGTTCAAGATGGCTGAGAAGCTTGAGAAACTTCTGAGTGCAGCATCGTCTCTTATTCCTCACCCTTTTTTTGTTTTAGATTCTTTCCCTTGATTCTCTAGGGTGGCTGCTTTCATTTATATGAATCCAGATATACGTTAACATACAGAAAATGAAATCAATACTTACAACTTCTTTGAGCATCAAGCAAAAGCCACTGGATAGCCCTTTTCTTGGCTGATCAGGAAGGGAGAATATGGGGAATAGATCTCTACAAAAATTTAATTTTAAACTTGAATTCAACAAATAAAACATAGAGGCTTGAAAGAATCCTTCCCAAGAGAACATTGTAAGAAGACAACTTGTGAGAGTCCTTTGTTGATTTTCTAGAACTTTTGTGAGCCTATTATTATATCACTGATAGCCTAAAGTTGGTCATATTTGGAAAATTTTCCCAATGGATATTGGTAAATACTACTCCTGATCCTCACTTCTCTCATCTTGATCTATATAAAGCCTATTTACCAGCATATTGTTGAACAAATGTCATGAAATGTTTTATTAGTACTATTAGCAAGAAGAGGCACCGCAGAATTGAAGGTTAAAGATTTTATAGTTATGAGTATGTAACTTCTCAGTTGTTAAAGTTTTTAGAAGCATTTAGATGGGTTTTTAAAAAGTGTGTCAGACACTATGAAGAGTATTTTTAGGAGTATTTTATATTGATTCACATTGAATTCTCAAAGCCATTAATTAATCATCATTGGGTGAATTCTTATAGAAGCTCTATTGATACATATAGCAAAGATAAACACTAGTTTGGCTTAAAGGTATTCTATTGGGATGAAATCAATTTGTAGTTAAGTAGAGAAGTATCATGAATAAAAAAAGAGAGAAACAGTTGTAACCTGGTAGAGGCTAATATCATATTGTGTAGTCAGGGAAGGTCGTTTATTTTGAGGGGAGTCAGGCTGAACTGAGTGCTGAAGAGCAGGTGGGTAAGTTTGTCAGAAGTCTATTCTACTCAGATGGAAAAGGCTCATGCCTAAGAGGTAGGTGCTGTTATTTGGCCATCTTACTTGGTGGGAACTGAGGAGCAAATGAAATCAAGAATCTTTTCTTGCTGGTGGCTCATACTTGTAATCCTAGCTTCTCAGGAGGCTGAGATCGGAGGATCATGGTTCCAAGCCAGTCAGTGCAGGAAAATCTGTGAGACCCTTCTTCAATAAACTACTCCAAAAGCCAGAAATGGAGCTGTAGCTCAAGTGGTATAGTGCACACCTGTAGTTCAGCCCCAGGAAGGATATAAAACAAAAACAAGAAAAAAAGAGAACCTTTCCCAGCCTAGCA